TTTTTCCCGTCTTTTTCCCTCCATTTGGCAATACAATTCCAATGGGACCGGCTACGTTCCAAGCAGTGCTGCTATCTGTGGGTGTTTAGCGAACTACATCGACTCTCGTTGTAAAGCAGGACATCCCCTCACGTTATTTGCTATTCGTCAGACCAAAATTGAAAAGGCCAATCACACGCGGCAATCGGGTTTACTCGACGCTGAGGGCTGCGCCGCACTGGGGATACGCCCGCTATTTGACGTGCCGCAGCGAACGTGTTAAAATTCAACTGCAGCAAAATTACACTTTTTAAACAACACATTTTATATCTAAGTAAGAAATGTGTTAGATAATATGTTAGAAATGTGTCGAATGATCGCCTTAGTGTCCTGTACCTATTTTCAAGTAGGTTTAAAAAAACGCAGTCAAAACACCAAAAAGGTTTTTACTATGGAGGAACTTTTCAGATTTGGGCAATTTTAAGGAACGTTTTTTCCCGGGTTAGGTATTTAACTCATTTGTCATTTAAACTTACTTTATTAAGTTTAAATACAGTTCAACAAAATATTAAAATCCATTTGGAAACTTTTGCTTGTGCTCTGGTAATAACCTAAGTGAGACTATAGTTAAGAGATGAGTTAGTCTTGTGAGATCATTGTAGTCGACATCAGCGCACTCAAGTGTTACCGTCATGAAACACGCATACCAAACGGGGGCCTTACATTTTACACTGGGGACACGTATACAGTATACTTGCACTATTTAAAGCCAATATACGTATTTCTTGTTACATACTCTTATGAGCTATTTGTGACTGTTATATGCTGGTTCAAGTCACGCGCCTCGCCTCACGATACAGAAGCCCTACATGTCCGGGGACGCGCCACCGCCACGAGTCCATGTGATTAGGGTTAATGTGATAGACTGGACACGAGTCTGGATATGCAGATGACGTTACTGAGGAGAAAACCCATCATTCAGCCTCGACTGAAACTAATAAAATTTCTGCTTGGTATTTACTATAGAAAGAGTTATACAGAACCCCTATACAGAGAAAGTTCTCACCATAGAGATCTGTATTTTCTAGGTTTAGCTACGTTAGGCTTCGAACCCGGGGTTCCTGGATCTAAGTGTTAATACAAAAAATACAGTTCGGTTCGGACTATGGTTAGTAAACCAAGCTATGCTACAATTATGGATTTTCAACACGATCTCGTGCTGGAGCGACTTGGTGTTATCAGTTCGTGGCAGGCGTGAAAGTTATTTAGCGAACGGCTTCATGTTGCATAAGTTGTGTGTCAGTGTGGTGGAGGCGTGCCAGATGTTGTCTTAGTCGCCTTATTCGGTAGAAACTCACTATGACTAACCTAACCTAACCTGTTGACACAAATATCAGGTGTTTGGGTAACTTCGGCGCCAGATACAGAAATACAGATTTGTTTATTGAATTAGTATGAGATAATTTATTTATGTTTTGTTGGCTATCTAACAACAAACACAAATACAACTATAGTCCATTAAAAAAATTCAGGTGGTTAGAGCCCACTAGAAAAAGCAGGCCATGCTGCAGGATCTATGACGTCACTCTAGTGGATAGATTTCATTGATAAATTCATTGCCATCACCATTCCCATATGTTTTAGGTAAATAAACAAGCTGGCTGTTTGTAAGATTTTAATGGTAAGATGTTTAGTACAACCTGTACAACTATCCACCACTGTGACGTAGTGTTGCGCTACCCGCGCTGCAGCATGGCCTGTTTTTTTTTTTTAGTGGGGCCTTGGTTAGAGGGTAAGGTTTTCTGGGTTCTCCCACCACTGTTATAAACTTCTATATAACAGCTGACCAGCTGTTGGCTGTTAATTTAAGGTTGAGTGGAGGGGATGGTGCTTCCCTTCAAAATTTTAGGATAGTTGCTATATTCTTAAATTATACATAACATCTTTAGTTGAATCGTGGATTTTGATTGTTAATGTGAAATCATTTCATCTTCTGAGATCTGGGCATACATACATAGGGGGAAATTTTTATCTTTATTTTTTAGGAAAGTAGTGTATATGCTAATGGTTCTTTCAGTGCAGAAATCATATAGGTAAACTTACTCTTTATGTTGAAGAAATATCATTTCCGGGCATGTTGAATAATGCATTCATTATAACTAATTGCTTCTCGAGTATTATTTAAAGAAAGCTAACAAGGACTAGACCAACCTTGACAATGTATTCATCAAACAATACCTGACCTCAGGCCCCTGAATTGTATACTCTACACCTACATCTACTTCTACTTTGCCATGCTCTTGGCCCTCATACTCCTACACGCTGTTATATATGTATTAACATTGTATTCAGGAACAAATTACTTCCTCTATGTACTCCTCATTACTTCCTTCATGTCGTCTGCTATGAAGACTTGAAAAGTGTAAATAATAAAAGAAAACTGTAAGAAAAACATACAACCTGATTAATTACATTTACCAACAAAACCACCTATACAGGGTGAGTTTTAATTGTCCCCCCCCCCAACTTTTTTCTACATTTTTTCAAATATCAATCCCAGACCACTTCCAAACATTGTTGGGTAGTAAGTACTTCATTTTGACAAGGTGGTCATTTCCGGCCGCCATCTTGGATCCGCCATATTGGATGCAAAATATTTTTTTCAGATGTAAAGGTGGGGTTGTGACCCATTATTTCGAACTAGATTTTTACCCTAATTGCAATGCCATAGACCGTTTTTAAAAATATTGATCCATTCCAAAGTTATGAGGCCTTTTTAAAACTTTATTTTTAGCCCATTTTAACATTGTGCATGTACAAACTAAGACCATAATCTCAAAATAGTGCTAGATAAAGATAAGTATACACTACCATTCATTGTCGACTTATTTTCACTTGGTTATGACGGATTTATTTTTTCGGCCGCCATCTTGGATCCGCCATTTTGAAATGTGATCAATTATTTTAAATATGAAGGGGGTGTTGTGACCCATCATTTCGAACTACTTTTTTAAGCTAAACTCAATGCCGCAATCCGTTTTTTGTTATCATGTTTTGATTTTGAAATATTGACATTTTTAACAAAAAAGTTGCAATATTTCATAAATGAAACTTGATAACAAAAAAAGGATTGCGGCATTGAGTTTAGCTTAAAAAGGTAGTTCGAAATGATGGGTCACAACACCCCCTTCATATTTAAAATAATTGATCACATTTCAAAATGGCGGATCCAAGATGGCGGCTGAAAAAAATAAATCCGTCATAACCAAGTGAAAATAGGTCGACAATGAATGGTAGTGTATACTTATCTTTATCTAGCACTATTTTGAGATTATGGTCTTAGTTTGTACAAGCACAATGTTAAAATAGGCTAAAAATAAAGTTTTAAAAAGGCCTTATAACTTTGGAATGGATCAATATTTTTAAAAACGGTCTGTGGCATTGTAATCAGGGTAAAAATCTAGTTCGAAATAATGGGTCACATCCACACCTTTACATTTGAAAAAAATATTTTGCATCCAAAATGGCGGATCCAAGATGGCGGCCGGAAATGACCACATTGTCAAAATGAAGTACTTACTACCCAACAATGTTTGGAAGTGGTCTGGGATTGATATTTGAAAAAATGTAGAAAAAAGTTGGGGGGGGGGACAATTAAAACTCACCCTGTATATTAAGCTACATGCTGTTAAGTTAAGCTTACTTCAAAAGTGATAGAAAGCAACTAAAGACTGTCTTGCCTTGTCTATCAGCTGGTGGTATGAATTAATTATAACCATAGAGATTAATGGATTAACCATGCACCATTTGATTGAGGTTATGTATATTTATTTTTAAGTTTATTTTAACCCATTATTTGATAAGGTAGCTGTTTTATTCGTTTCCAAAATTTTACCATTCTTTACATTAGTTTTTTTAACTTTTGAGTTTATTAGTAATATTTTATAAGTTGTCTGTAAAAAAAACTTTGCAAATCACAACACATGCATTTACCTAAATGGATTCACCAATACTATGCCATACTGACTTATAGAGATTTGCCTGAAGAGTTTTACTATTTCATTTGAATGATAACTTACACTGTATTAACCTTTTTTAAAACAATTTGAGTACTGTACAGGCAGGTTAACCTTAGCTCAAAAGTAATTGCAAACGCTTGATGGTTCTAGTAACATATTTTTGTTAGGTTATCGTATAATTACTTATATATTATCGTAATAGACTTTCAATGGCGTGAACGTATTTATTTTACCCTACCAGCCTTAGATATTATTAGCTATGGTATAAAATTTAGAAAATTTTAAGGTTCAATTTAAAACAAAAATGTTGCATATAGGCTACCGGTACTGTGTTATTAACAACTCTTGAACCATTCAAAGCAACTAATAAGTATATAGTATGATTGTTCGCTGAATCATTTCACTAAGACAGTGACAAACTTTTGTAGATCTAGTACTTTGCTGATACAAGAGTAATGGAGTGAGATGATTTTGTGTCACTTTGTTACTGATTATTCAGTGCTAAAGACACCAACATAACCTGTGTGAAGACCAGAGGGTTGCCACCCGTCCCGATTCTGCCGGGACAGTCCCGATTTCGGTTCATATGCCCACATTTAAGCCTATGTTAATCCGGGGGGAGGGGGGCCATGTCCTGAATTTTCCCTAACCTAAGGTGGTAACCCTGGTGAGGACACTGTTTCTTAGCTAGGACGATTTTTTTAAAAATCCCAATGACCAGCATTGAGATACACTTAGTAGACTAAGTACCGGGAGATACACAATATAGTACAGTTTTGGATTTTCCAAAAGCTAGCTATTCTCGGTGACTTTCCGATTCTCAGGGGCATCAACAAGCGCTTTAACCGCTTGAGTTCCTTCATATTTATTAGAGCACTAATCCCTTTGTATTTATCTTTTGATCCCCTCCATTTGTTTAGTATGTCATAAATAAAGTAGATCTAATAAAATCTTAATATTTTATAACTTGTAAGTAAATTAAATCCTGTTACTGTATTACAGCTTCCCGCGCTGAAGACTGTGATCCCTCTGAAGCCCAGCGGCACTCAGACGCTGCCCAAGTCAGAGTCTTCTCGGTCCTCCTCCACTGCCACAACCCCCGTCCTGGCCCCTTCCTTCCCACACCTGAACAACAACAACAATACGTCCCACAACAACAACAACTCCACCCACAACAACAACAACTCTGGCAGTCCATCGCCTCAGCGGTTAGACCCACATGGACGGAGATTACCACTCACCCCTGTTGGTAAGGGCTAACTTAATACGATGTAAATTAGCTTAAGTGATTTTTTCATATCCTGGTACATAAAGAAGTTATTAATTGTCAGGCATTATTTTGGAGTCTTAGCTTTGACCATCCATAAATTTTTCCGCTCCTGTACTTGGCAAATCAGGTCTTCTGGATGACTATGTCAAAGACAGAAACTCACTGGTATTACTAAGTGCTGACGTCACAGGCACACCTGTACTGGTGAACTGCTCTGAAGATTGCTGTTTGCCATTGTCAGCACTCACTAGTCACTACCTAGTTCTAAGTTTATGTCTGTGCTGCACTCATACCCAGAGGACCTAGTTTTTATAAAAATGTGTTGGCTGTAAAGGTTGCAACGATAAACCTTGTTGAATTGTCCAACAGAGAATGCTGCTGTCATTAACTTATCTGTTAAATATTCTGACCATTTAATCAGGCCATACTTAAAGGATAACTTATTGTACCTAAACTGTAGAATATTTTATGATAGTGAAGAGGTGAACATATCAAAAGTCCTTGCCCGTTACCTTTCTTAAGCCAAATGGGTGGGGGGGGGGGGCTCGAAGGTTACTATGGTTCTTTGCTGAAACCTGTATAACCATTATTCCTAGCAAAATGACTAATTTGGTTACAAAATTAAAGCTTTGTTAAATTTACATCAAGTGGTCCTATATCTACGTTGTATACTTATAGTACCGTATATAGGCCTATTCATTTTTGCTATGACCCATAGATTGGAAGATTTCAGGGAAAACAAAAACAAATTGTACCTTTTAGCCCTTGACTAGTCCAAAATAATTTACAAGGTCAAAAATTGTGTTCCAAACATTTCTTTCTATACCTTTTCATTGTCTGGACTAAAAACTTAGGGGAGAAAATATAATTTCGTTCCAGAGTGTATGGTTGTCACTCTGTGACCTGCTCATTCATTTGAGTACTGTATGTTCAATTTGAATAAATAATTGACTAAAACTGGTTGGTTTAGATTACATCTCAACTTCTGAATCCTAAAATCAATAGTTTTAGTCAGATTAAGACAAAAGAAGACGTTTGAGTCACCAACTACTGCTGCGAAACTTATTAAACAGTATTTTCATTCTGTATGAATTGTTTGACGCAACTGGAATTCCCAGCAATTCTCTAATCATTGTGAAACAATTATGGTACTAAGTAATCATGGTGTCCGGTAGTAACATTTGCTGTATATTCATGGTCATAAAGTAATAACTACAAATAGTTTGGTTTTACGTATTATTAAAAATATGAAAATGAGCACGAATCTTAAACATAATAAACTACCGTACAGATCATTTTATTTTATTTTTTTTTTTTTTACTTTATTTTATTTTGATTGTTTTGACAATTTGTACCAATAACTACAATCATTGTTACAGAGGCCCTTAAATACTATGGGAGTCGGTTGACCGAGTATGAACGAACGGAGATTGAGAAGTACCCAGAAGTTTGGTACTTGGGACTTGATGCTTGCAAGATACATGGTGAAGAGGGACTCTCACAGAACGGGGGCTTTGATGATGACAACGGAAGTTATAATAAGGTAATAGTAAACTCTGATAGATTTTTGAGTAGTTTTATTTTGTTGACTGAAAAAATTTGTAACGAAACGAGTTAAGTCCTACAAATATATTTATGATGATAACCCAACCTAATATAACCTACGCAGCGCGCTGTTAAATAAGTGGCCTCCGTATAATACCAAAGTACCCATGGAAGAGGTAAATGGTCTGCGGAATCACATTGTCATTCTATGTATTTCACTGTTGATCTAATTCTTTGTCAAAATTAGCTCCTGTTTGTGAAACTGTAAAATTAATTTTCTTGCTCAATTTCGTTTTTCAAAACTGTTGCCTATTTGTAAAGTGGTGTAGTTTATTAAAATTTTACCTTTTACTTTCTCTGTTACATTTGATTAGCCTATCCCAGCAGTATTTTAAAGATTAAAGATAAAAGATAAAATAAAGATAAACTATTTTTAGTTTAAATTTGATTAATTCTTTTACAGGTTCTACACGACCACGTTTGTTTTCGGTACGAGATTCTGGAAGTGATCGGAAAAGGAAGTTTTGGACAAGTTATACGAGCTCTAGACCACAAGAACAATACACATGTCGCTATTAAGATTATTAGGTGAGTTGGACATTTTGTGGAAAACCACCAAATTGGTTATGGTCATTAAATACCCTAACTGGCTTTTACTGTTAGAATGGGTCAAACAGAAAGATTTAATTTAAATTGGTAGCTTTCAACAACTGTAGGGTAAAGTACTAAATGTTAAATGATTGTTGAACTAGTTTTTATCACTGTTCAACTTTTGTCTTTATTTTGTTGAAGAAGTAACAATAATTTTATAAAACATGATCCAAGATAGATAGAAGTTCTGTGTTACAAAAATGAACCATGTGATGATAATTTTGTAAAATTGTCAATCTTTTCTTGAGAATGTAAATTAAACAATAAAAATACCAAAACAAAACATTAAAATACCTGATTTGGATAGAGTACACCCTAGCACAATAAGCGCAAGAAATGTTGCAATATAGTTAAAAGAAGGATCATTGACCAACTTCCTGGCCATTATTGAACCTAAAGACCCAACGTAAACCTTCTGGTTGTAAATGCTGTCAGTGACAGAGAAACTTGTGTAATTTTATGCATAGTGTAGTTTTATGTGTGTCTAGTTCCATGGGCGGCTCTTAGCCATGAGATATTTTTGCTATCCTTACAAAAATCCTTAAAACAGATTATCATGCTAACATCCTTACCCTCATATTTTAAGCTATGTTAAGTGTAATGTAACTAATAAATTTAACTCCTGCAGGAATAAGAAGAGGTTTCATCACCAAGCGCTCATAGAGGTCAGGATTCTGGATCATCTCCGGAAGAAAGACGCGGATAGCTCACACAACGTGATACACATGTTGGAATACTTCTACTTTCGTAATCATCTGTGCATCAGCTTCGAGCTTATGAAGTGAGTTACGCAAGGTTCTTGAGTTCAAATATGTAAGAATTTTACTAATCTCATGGCTACATCTATAACTAGACTAGTCTACTTGAATAGGTCAATAGTAGTCTTTGGACATCTTGCAAAGAAATTCTGACAAATATTCCGCACTATGTGCGATGCTATGTAAAGTATGAGAAATTAAGCTTGGCATTGTACCTAAAATTTGTTTAATGTTAAGGATTAAGAGAAGACTGGAAATATTGTTGATTTATATAGTTAAGTTTTTGTGCTGAAATTTTAATTTGATGAGACTCAAATTGGATTCTTACAGGGAGTTAATTATGTAGGTTAACTATTTGTAAGCCTTTTCTGTTAGGTATCAATTTTTCACATTAGAGAGAGCGAGACATTTTAAATTGTAGAATTCAGGTAAACATTTTACTATTATTATTTATATCTATACCAACTTTACTCATTTTGAGTTTTAGTTTTAATTATGAATAAAATAATTAGTAATTAGTAACACCAATACCAGTGTGATAGGATTTGTTGTGTGAATCAATAATAATAAATAATAATCTTTGTTGAGTACTCATGTTTCTTAAAAAAACTACAATTAAATCATAATTGTAATTCTGATAAGGTTTAATTCCAACTAAGAATTATTTGTTTTAGTCACATTACACAATGACTTAAAATTAATGGTTGTTACATTGTTGTTACTGTATAACAGGGGAAAGTTATTGTATAGAATGACTTTTGATTTTATAATAGGCCTACAGCTATCCATATTTTTACACCGAGACACTTTATTATTGTTATAAATTGTATTAGGTTAATGCACTAATTATTTCATAACAATTCAAGCATAGTGTGAGTAACCCAATGTGTGCGAATTGATAGTTTAAGAACTTTATTCAGCCACAAAATAAGTGCATGGACAACAGTAATACCAACCAATAACATGAATAGTGTACTCGTACATTAGTCCCAAAAATTTGAACATCCATTCACATCCCAAACAATGTCTGGACAGCAAACAATGTTGTGATACCGATGTTAAATATCGATGAACTCCCTTACATCTTTGGTTGTCTTTCTGGACACTTATGGACTTATAAGAACTGTCACAAATTTCAAAATTCCAAGAATGTTTAAGCGTACGTGGGAGAGGGTGGCTGGGTTTGGAAGGAAACTTGTGGTAAACGGATCTGGTGAGTCGTAGGCCTACACCTGGTAGACCCTGGGATATTTAAACAGCATCCAGTGCAAGACACTTATTTACGTCAATTGTTTCAGTCTTCTATTGGAGTGTTTACCATCCTTTTTTACTGGCAGAGCACTACCATTTTGCACTCTGTAGCCTACCACTGGTTGGGAATTACACTGCTCTATTGAATTCAGCTCTAAACTGATGTAAAAATAGTATGATTAAAAAAGAAAATCATAAAAGTATATTTAAATATAGAAAAAAAGGTGGCTATGCTAACTCAATGGTCAAAGGATCGAATTTTGGTATGGGAGGGACGGGTTCAATTCCTAAAATATCCACACATATTTAGTAGTTTAGACCGATGCTTAAAAGCGTTTAAACTTAACTCTTTTTTACAATAATTTGGTTTTTTATTTAATTTTTGACGATATCTTGACACTGAGTGCTGTTCAAATTGTCCTTCAATGCCATTTGTATTGATTGGTCAACGACAAAGTTAAATACAAGTTTTTCAAAATTACCCATTTCCTTGACATGCCTTTTTTGTAATTGTTTAACCCTTAATACTTTGGCAAGATAGTATAATATTATCCTACAAAAACCAATACCCATGTCACTCACTACAGTACAGTAGTTAACCTAAAGTTTCTTTAAAGTTTGCATGCTATTTCGTGATATAAGTTTGGCAGATATATACCCGATAATCTGTGTTTAATTTGTATGATAACTTTTAGTATAGTTGGATTATGATGAAGTTAGTTAACCAATATTTGTTGATTTCATTCTAACATAATCGTATCCTACCCACATGATAAATCATCAATTTCTTATCCAGCTGTGAAGTGTCCTGTAAACATTATGTGTTGTTCATTTTTAATCCAATAGTTTGACACTTATAGTTCGACCGCTTAGAAAGCGACCTCCTCCAGCATTGGTTTAGCATTAGCGCGCAGGTCGTTTTCTAAGCGGCCGAACTATAATTAAACATTGTAGGTATTTTAAATCCTTGTAGGCCATATGGTAATACCGTAACATAGAGATCTACCCTAGCAGTATCTTGAAGTTTTAAATTTCATACTAACCCTTTTCTTTGTTATTTGTATAAACCAATTTTTCTAAACTTTGACCTTTGTTGTGTGCAGTATTATTTTTATTTTTCGTTAGGTTCAACAAATTTACTCATAGTTTCTTTATAACCTTAAGGCTAAGGATTATTTATTTTATTAAAAAAAAATTCATAGAGAGGCATTTATAGACAGTATTGTAATCATAAGATCAGCAAGATAATTATAACTGAAGAAAGTTTTATTTTCAATTTGGTGTTTTTCATGATTAACTTTATTATTAGGGGTGTGTTTTAAGTAAGGGCCGTTGTGCATTTTACTCCGTAGTTTGCGTGTACTATAATAATGAGATAATTTGTGAACTTAATAAAGCTATTTTCAGCTCTGTAGTTGACGCTTTGTTGTGTGTCTAGAATTTTTTTAAATTGTTGAATCTTATGCCAGATTAGGTCAGAGCTATGTTTTTGAATGCAAGAAACATATGTGATCCATACATTATCACCGGATGACTCAATTTTATGGCTCTAATGCGGTGAGTGAGGTTAAAAATCGGAAATGCCTTATCAGGTCCAAAAATGGCCATGGAAATATCCATTTCCAAAGAAAATGCATTTTCTGTGTGTACTCAGACTTCTCACATAAGACAAAAAAGGAAAAAGGTTAGCGAGTGTTTTGGATTTTTTAAGTGTTACATGGAAGAAAAGGATGATATGAAGATACAGTAGCAGTAGAACCCCTGTTAACCGAATTCAGGTTACCCGAATCCCGGGTTAACGGAAATGGTCCTATAAAATAATATAGGGTTGTAAAATGCTTTAATAACTTCAGTTGTCTAGTTTAAAGTATTTTCTATCCCATTGTTACATTTTTGTAGCTGAAATAACACAATTAATTATATAGACATTAGATATTGTCTTAAATTAATATTTCCTACACACTGTGATAATACATTGGCTATTTTTAGCATATGATGAGTAAACCAAAAAATGGTTATCCGAAACGGGTCTCCCCCCTTTATTTCGGTTAACTGGGGTTCTACTCTAAGTCATCTGGTGATGAATGTATGCATCGGATATGTATTTTGCTTTTGAAAAACGCATCTCTGACCAGGTTTGCCACCTGTCCCGATTCCGTCAGCACAGTCCTGATTTCGGTCCCTTGTGCCCGAGTTTATGCATATGTTATTCTGGGGGAGGGGAAGACCGTCCCGATTTTTCCCTAACTAAAGGTGGCAACACTGTCTATGGCGTTATCTGTCATGCGCCAACTCAATCTTTTTACAACACACAGTAAAGTGTACACGTCAACCACAGATCATGGCTTTATTATGTTCACAAATGATGCCAGTAAGCAGCAAGCCGCCTCAAAACCTCTAAGACATATAATAAATTATGATTTAAGCCACTAGAATAAACCTATCATAGCCCGTATTATAGTGTTTCAAATAGTTTAAATAGTGCTAAAGAAATTATCTTATTTTTTAAATCAACCGTTTCTTTATTTTAAGTTTTATTTTATATATAAGTCCCCCAGGACTTTATTTACTGGTTGAGTTGCCTGTAGATAGCTTGGTAGATATTTCAGCTTCTTAGTTCTTAAAGATCCTCAAGTTTAATACTCATTAGACAGCTGTTTAAAGCTATTTTTGTGTTTCAGTCTCAACTTGTACGAGCTGATCAAGAAGAACAATTACCAAGGGTTTAGCCTGAGCTTGATCCGAAGGTTTGCTCACTCACTTGTACAATGCCTGCGGCTCCTTCACAAGGAGAACATTATCCACTGTGATCTCAAACCCGTAAGTTACATGTTTTTTGTAAATTATTGAAATTGTTTAAGAAATTGTTGTTTGAACATTTATTGAGGAAATCATTACCTAGGTGGTTATAACCTTGAAAAGTTATACAGTAGTAGTGTATAGATTAATTACATTTAAATATTTTTTTCTTTTACAATTTAGGAAATAATTAACTTTTTATTAAAAAAAGTTAAGAATCAAGCCATTAAGGTTTATTTTATTGAAAAACCCATTACATATTTTTACCGTACCTGTATAGGATTGGTAAAAAATATGATTAAAAATATAAATTGAGACAGTATTATAGAACGTAAGCAATATAAAATAAATCGGTGAAAATAAATTTAGTAATACAACAGGATTTTCGCTACCACACCAGGTTACTCTATTCTGTATAGAGTTTTTCTCACAACTTAATTATTTTGCAGGAAAACGTGTTACTGAAGCAACGAGGCAGCAGTTCAATCAAAGTAATAGACTTTGGCAGTTCATGTTACTCCCATCAGAGGGTATACACGTACATTCAATCTCGGTTCTACAGATCTCCAGAAGTAATTCTTGGTCTTCCTTATGGCACTCCCATAGACATGTGGAGTTTAGGTAAGAAAACAACTCCTTCCATTCTTTATACTAAGACAGGACCACAATGCTGTTTATTTTATATGCATTGGTTTATAATCACAGTTATGTTGTGTTTAAACCACAGATATCTGATCATAGTTTTCAAATTAATCACTTTTTACATGCTAGGAGTCTCAAACCAGAAGATGCTTGATCTTGAAATACATGCAAAACTTTATGTACAATGTAGAATTTATGGCTTCAAATTGAGCTATTTTTGACTTAGTCTTGTTGACTTAGCAACCTTTTCAGCTGTAAAGACAAAGAAACAAAGGTGATTAAACTGTCACTTATATCTTGTGTGCATGTAAAAGTCAACCAAAACGTCAACAGACTTTATATCTTAAATATTTTTTAAAGTGATTCTACTAAAAATCATCAAGACAATATGTTTTAGGAAATTATATGACTAATCCTATGATGCTTAAATTACAAATCAGTTCATAATTTATATATTGTAATCATTGTTAGACCAGGTATAAGAGTATAAACTTTTTTAATTTGTTCCTAGTTCCTATTGTTGTGCAGCACCGGTGGGTAAGGTAGGGGAGTGTGAGTGGTCCGGGGCATTTAAATATCTTGTTTATGAACAGATGTTTACAATGTAATCATCGTAGGATTGGTCATTAGATTTCCTAAAAACAAAAAAAAGATATACATTTTTTGGCCATTATATTTGGAGTTCTTATAATGGTCTATAAATAGTGGAATCATCTAGTTTCAAAAGTATTTCACATAGCAAACATTAAACACCACCGTTTTGAATTGGCACAAATTTGAAATTAGAAACCTCGTGTAGATATTGGCCTTTTTTGTCCCCACATGTGTACTAAATTTGAAGTCAATCGCTTACGGGTTCAGAAGTTATGGATTAATTTGTAAAAATCACATACAGACAGACATAAAGGAAATCCAAGCATTTTAGACCTATGTTTATAATATGATGTTTCTATTGTTTTGACCTAAGAAAAACATACACAAAATCTTTCCAAAGAGTTTATATACACCCAGTATAAAAAAAAATACCTTATAATAATTTTTTTTTAAGAGCAGGGTAAAAATATGAGAAGAAAGGATAGTTCACTTAAAAAAATCCCCTTTTCTAAATAATTAATACATGGAGTCCAGAAGTAAATTTAATAGCTGACATTAGTAATTCATGTTGACAAGATTTCTGGGTAATCATGAAGAACGTTATGTTTCAGGTTGCATCTTAGCTGAGCTTTACACAGGCTATCCTCTGTTTCCTGGTGAGAACGAGGTAGAGCAATTGGCTTGTGTAATGGAGGTCCTGGGAGTTCCTCCTGAGGACGTCATCATGAATGCTTCACGGCGTCGACTTTTCTTTGGTTAGTACATTGCAAAATTTATTGGACTTTACACATACCCTTTCCACTTCCATACTGCTTACTCGTACTGGACTTGGACTATACCTCTCCATTTTCCCTTATTCCTCCATAGTTCTTCCTTTAACATTTGCCATCACTCTTCTCTCTTCTCCACATTCTTCTTCAACTCATCAATCCAATCTCTTTTGGGCCTTCCTCTCGATCCCTACACACTAAAATGATCTGATAGAAATTGCAAACAACTATTTGTATCTCTTGGCGGCTATTAGTTAAACTCTGTGGATATTCACATTGGACCATTTTCATGTGGTGTAATTCGTTTCTAGTTATTTGTGTAGCTAGTGGGCAAAGTGGCACTTTGCTGCACACGAGAGCAATGTTTACGCACGAGCCGCAGGCGAGTGCAGAATGATCTCGAGTGCAGCAAAGGCCTTTTGCACTCGTGTTACACATTATATTTTTCCTACAGTTACTATAAAGCATATAAATAATTAGTCTTTCAAACACTATACAACACGTTTTTAGGTTCAGCTGGCAACACAAATAGGTGCCCTAGAGAAAGTAGTACGCGGTCCGTATCACTCCGCTATTTTTCCTCGGCAAGAAATGTGCTCCGCGACTTGAGAATATAGTTCCGTATGTTTTTGTAATTTGAAGTGGTTTCCGCGCCTAAAAAAATGCTTTTAAGGTATTTTCTTGTTTATTAAGATCGTAGGAATGTTTTAAAAACGTTTAAAAGAAAAGTCCAGAAAGTTTAGAAATACCGAAACTATAAACACGAAATGACAGGTTAAATCGTAGTTATAATAGTCAATCAGCTGCTCATAGTATTATTATCTTTAAGTGTTGCCAACCTATTTCCAAGCGTACACGGATTACGTGCATAATAGAACCACGCTGTTTTGTGTTGTTTCGTTGGAATCCTGATGTGTGCCAAAGTATAAACCGTACGACAAAGTATAAACCGTACGACAAAGTATAAATATGCAGCAATTAGCAGCTTTCTGTACTATAAACAGTACAAGGAAGCCAACTTTAAGGAAGCCAAGCCAGTCGGGTGACTGTAGGAAAAAGCTATTTCTGCGAAGTGTTACATTTTAAATTATGCATCCAATGTACGATTAGAGTTTTATCAAGAAATGTGTTTTTCAGACTCTAAGGGAAACCCAAGGTGTATTACCAACAGCAAAGGTCGCAAGCGAAAGCCAGGATCCAAGGATATTGCTACAGCGATTCGATGCAACGACAAACTATTTGTAGACTTCATCACCCAGTGTCTCAAGTAAGCATATTTCTAGCAATTATCTTTAACACGTTGAGTGCGGGCCACATCTATAGATGAAGTCGCGCCACCCCTACTACATTAGTTCAGTATGAGCTCAGCCATTGCTGGGGAACGTTTAAATCGTTGCTAGCCTGTAGCATAGAATGCGAGCTTTATTTTGGTGTGGGTTGGTACTTAAATTTCCCGTAAAATCCCATCTGGCAATGCTTTTGTCCTGGTTTCGGGGATATTTCTCTCTTTGAGCCACATTACACTGACACTGGCTACGGATCCAGACAGTGCTGCTACCTTTGGGTGTTTCAGTGAACTACCTCCACTCTAAGAGTAACGCAGCACAATCACCGCTGCTCTTTTGTGATTTGTCAGACTGAAATATTTGAATGCCAATTGTGTTCGCTGTTTTGGTGGCGCACCGGGGCTTTACAGCCATTGGCGAACACCTGTTTATAGGTTTTCAGAACTCAACGTATTCAATCTCTCTTTATTGTTGAAATGTTTGTTTTTAGCAAGAGGGTTTAATGTTAGTATCAAGAAGCTTTTTTTAATGAAAGTCTTGTTATTGAAGTTTCAACATCGAACATTACTTAAATTTGAAAAAAATGTCTTTTTTTTCTTTCCCTATTTTATTTAGTATGAATAGAAATTGCAGTTTTTTACCTTAAGTAGTTTGTTAGACTCAAGTAACAAGTAACTTGTTGTTAACTCAAATAACTTCTCAGATAGTACAGCCCTAAGCTGTAGCCAACTTATCATCCAGTTTTCCTTCAAATATGAAATCCACTTTCCTATTCTTTTAACTCGTTTCTTTTCACCAATTTCTCCGAGATTTTAGACTTTCTTCCTTTTCCTATGGGAGCAAACTACCTTAGTACTATACCAACCACTAACTTTTTAATAAGATAATATGATACTGTTCTTTATTTTCTTTGCTACAATGTAGATCTGTTTTCAGCTGGGACGCCAAAAAGCGCATGACACCTGACGACGCGTTGCGGCATGAGTGGCTGAAGAGTAGCAGCTCGTCTACCAGCAGTGGTACCACTACGGCACCAGTGACAGCCGCACCGCAGCCGCAGTACCGCGTGTATCGGGCTGGCAAACCTGTGACGTCGACAGGCAAGTCACACCACAGTACGGAGCGAGACCACTCGCACAGTCTGGATGACTCAGGCACATTCCTGCCACCCATACTGTGAGACCCGCGGTCCTGTACATAGACAAACTGATCTCATGAGACAATCGAGGACATTGTGTTTCGTGTTACCAGCAAGACTGACAAGAGAGCTTCGTCCGCCTCTGCGGTGGCTGAGGAGATCGTCGGTGACCAAATCTTAACTGTTTACTTTGCGTAAACACTCAACCTCTATAACAATGACTAGGAATCCAAATTTTTTGGAACTTTTACCATTAATGTTTGTAATAGTGTGTTTAAATTATACGAGTAAAATGTTAGTTTTGTGGTGTCACCGGTTTTATATGTCGAGTGATTTGTAAAACGTCTCCTCAATTACCTCAGAGACGGAGGACTCTGTATTTAGTCAACTTTACTACCGATCCTAGAAAATATAGTAATAAGATTTTCCTACTGAAGTTTGCTTTAATTTAATTTGAAGGAGTTTCATTTGCTTTAATTTGAAGGAGCCTGTTAATTTATGTACTAATTTAGTCATAATTTATCCTCTTAACAAATGTGAGTGTTTCACATCCGTATTATTAAGTATCTTATCCTATTTTAAGTTTTTGTATACTTTTATGTTATGCTTTTTTGGTTCTGTTTCTTCCGGTTATAAAACATTTTAAATTTCCTGTATATAGATGCATCTACTGTATTTATCCAATGTATTTTATGTTAGCGTTAATACTAACACTGGATATATGTGTTGACCCTTTATAATCAGATGTAAACAAAATGCTCAGAGGGAGATCCTACTACCACTGAGTTTGTACAGTGTCATATAGTTCTCTGTTTTATGCTCGGTTTGATTCATTGTGAAGTTTTTTACGCAACGGGTAGATTTTTTTGTAAAAAACTATTTAACTCGTTTTGGTTAATGTGAGAATCGATTAAGGAACTGAGTGCTGTATAAATATTTTAAATTTTGTAGTTCTAAACAATTTCCGAGTAAAACTTTTGTCTATAGTGTTTATGTATTTTTATATTTTTGTTTTGTTTTCTGGTCTATGTAGTGGTCATTCTGATTCATGTTCCAAATAAACAGAATAATTAAAATTGTCTTTCATTAATCACTTGTTTTATTTTATCCTTGATATTGTACAAGTCAGTAGTTAATGAAACTCAAAATTTTCCAGATAGTCTCAAACCATTGACTTTGAATAGGACACTTAAGTAGTCTTCTTATCCTATTGCACACAGTACAGTAGAACCCCTCATATCTGACCATAGCGGGACCGGGCTATGGTTGGTACGGCAAAAAGGTCGGATATCGTTAGAATTTATGAGCATAACCTGCAGTCTCCTCGACTTCGGTAAACGGCTATCACGACCGCGGCAACACCCATGATAATCATGGCTACACAGCTATGAATCAAACTCCCTTCTTCAGTGGTGTGTAGTGTGAGGAAAATTACCTCATCTTGAATGCTCAAAAGACTCAACTTGTTCAGTTTTGCATTTTTAACCAGTACCACAGTCCCAAAATGACATAAACTTTTCCTAAAGGATAAGATACCACTGGAGAGGAGATGCCTCTCCTTCTGAATAAGTAAAATTCCTTAGTCCAGTCCTTGACGAAGGCCTCACATTCCACATCCACATCGAGCATGTCAACAAGAAAGTATCTGTGGGTATTTTCATAATGAGAGTTCGTAAAGCCAAGGATGTCGATTATATGATTCGTGGTTCCTGTTTGGGGATGCAAGAGCAAAAGGACTCGGTTCTTATTTAGGCAATCACAATATTGTATTTTCTCTTGCTAAACATCAATCATGCCGAGATTATTTCAGATCATTTAAAATTTTAAGCTTCCCATCTATTTACATCTAAGAAACTGTATATCATAGTACAGTATATAATATTATCATATTTCACCAAGAAAAATATTTCCTTTTCCACATCTGCAATAAACTCCAGATATCCATTTCCCAATACATGAAATCTACCCGTTTCTCGTCATTGCACTTAATCCTTTCTTCCAAAGAAACTTCCATAATTCTTCTAAGTTGTTTTATGATGAATTCAATTTTAGCGAATTTCCCATATAGGGAATAAGCTATTACCGTAGTACTCATGGTAAGACCTGGACGCGGGACCGATTTTTTTTTTCATTTTGAGGTCCCTAGAGGCCAAAAACACCATCCGTTCAAATTCATATATATATATATATTTATATATTTATATATTTATATATATATATGTGTCCGTTAGCACGATAACTCGAGCAAAAATTATCCGATTTTGATGAAATTTGGTACAAACGTGTAAACCTACGTTAATTCGAACGAGTTCGCGATCCAGCATGATCGGTCCATGGGAACAGGGGTTTACGGGGGGTTTTATGGGGTAAAAATAGGTTTTTCCCATTTTTGACCCAAAAAACATAAAATTTAGCAATTTCTTTTCAAACCATTTTGTAGAGCTTAAAAAAACAAATAATTTAGTACATTGAAGCGTTATTATGCGCCTAATGGTTACGGAGAAAATTCCAAAAAATTGTAAATTTAAATTCCCATGTTATTCTTATGGAGAATAAGTAAATTGTTGTAGTTTGCTTGTTTATGAACATATTTTGATCAAATTTGGAAAATGTTTTCATTTCTTACTAACTATTAACGTTTTACAAAAAAAAAACAGTTTTACCCTCCCTGATGCAGCAAACCTAAGTACTAGTCAAACTAATTCTATTTAAATCTATATAAATAAAATTAGAGTTTTGTCTGTACATTGCTTAGAATAATGAACTTTTTGGTTATTTTTACATTTCATAGGTCAGAGAAACCGAATCAAACCTTATCTCAATTTCTGTCTGTCTGTCTGTCTGTCTGTCTGTCTGTCTATCTGTCATTCTCTTGGTAACGCTAAAATACGCACTTTATTACAACTACTCCTCAATAACTATAGCACTGTCCCGCCTGAAACTTATTTTCCAAATACTATACATATATGAGATGGTTTTAGACGTATTTCATCGAATATGAGACAGTTAGATATTTAACAGTAAACCCTTGAAAATCAAGTTTTTGTCGATTTTTGACGTGGAATTTCTGGAAGCCCATGTTAACCTTATGAGAAATGAAATTATTGAATCTTAACAGCTGTTTCAATTAAACAAGTTGGTTCTGTTCTGTGATGTTCAATAGCATTAAAGTTACAAGGATTACCAACAGGGTGCAGCACTAGCACTATTATTTCTTTTACATTTATGACAACAGCTAATTTGCAACCTGGAGGCGAGTGAGCGTAGCGAACGAGCTAACCTGAAGGCAAGTGAGCGTAGCGAACGAGCTAACCTGAAGGAAAGTGAGCGCAGCGAACGAGCTCCAACATACAGGTGAGTGAGCGTAGCGAACGAACTTCAACCAGGACGTGATTGAGCCATGCAAACGAGATCAGATAGTAAAAATAAAAGTAAGCCTACCGTTATAGGATCGACCGGCAGACACAGAGGTAATTTAACCTTTTATTGATTGTCATACCGATCCGGAACAACAAAAAACAACATAAAATGAAGCTATGTATAATAGTTTGGCCAGCATATCTTAAAATATGCAAACCAACTGCTGTTCGTTATATAAGAAGGTTTCAACTGAATATTATAAGATCCCCGTGCGTAGAACGGGTACACAGCTAGTAGAGAATAAATGTTATATTTTTAAGTAGACATTTCAGTGTAAATCCAATCAGTCAAATGGAAATTCGCTTAGTCTGCAGGTTTGCTGCGGCGGGGGTATTTTTTTTTTACTTGGCTAATGCAAGTTTTGTTAATTTAGCCCAAACGACTCATTGTTTGTACACACCTATATAGGACCTATGGACCTAAAGCCATATTTTCCAATTAAAACTTTTTCGGTTGAAATACTGTCATTTGAAGGGAGATATTATATTGTTTGCAAAGAGTGAAGTTTTTGTGTCTGTTATACCCATTCTGGTTAACCTGCTATTTCAACAACCACCCTAAACATTTGCGCCATATAAATTTTTGTATTATGATAGTTTCTGAGTGCACTGACACTCATACATCAGATTTCATTTGTGTGTGAAAATATGTTTCTGGTTGAAAATGTCAATAAGATGACCATGGCATAAATTCCAACTGGTAAATTTGTTTGAAAACAGGCACATTTTACGAAAATGTCTTTATTTATCACAACATATTTTACAACATATAAAAATAAATGAAATATTATTCTAGGATATATTATCATTTAGCGGTTATCAATTCATTAAATGTATAGGTACTCAACAATCAACAATATATAGATAATTGCAAAGAGCAATCTGGATTCTGAGTTTTGTACTTAGGTAAATAAATTATCTTAGATACCCTAAAAATAAATATAATACATCAACAGCCAAAATCATTATCACACAAAGCATTTTGGTTTGTTTACACAAAATTTACAAATTTTGAGATTAATTATAATTGTGTAATATGCAAAATACCTTTTTTTATATAATTAAAGATGCAACTTTTTCCTGGCTGCCACTGCAGCCTAGAATACCCACTAGCCAAACAAAGTTTTTAGATTACTCATTTGTGAAAAAATATATCACTCACCAACAAAAAGAAAAAAAAACGTATAAATTAGCAATTACTACATTGTAGGAATCATAATGTGGATTTAAAATTACCTTAGACCCCCTTTCATAATTGATTGAGATATACAGGTGCACCAAAAGCTTTTAAATAGTAATTTGGTCATAGCAATTTTTTTTTCAAATCATTCATTTTTTCAAGCGTTGAAGCTGTTTATGGAGCATCCAAAGCAAGGAGTGCAGAACAGATTTATATTTCACATTTACATTCTCTCTCGACCCTCTGCCAGTAACAGAACCAATAGAATGTTGGATTACTACAAATAATAATATAATTAACCTTTAAGTTAAGGAAAGTCAACTTATGATGCCTTATTAGGTACTCTTTGGTTATCAGGGGGTCCAAATTAATGAACTAATAAAGTTACATAACTAAAACTGTAATATTATCAGCTAATGGCACATTTAGCAGGGAACATCAAGTGTGTAGCTCAATCAAGTGCAAACAGTGTTGATAAAAGTTAGTGGCAGCATCGGGATTCGAACCTACGACATCTCACAGTTTAATAATCCTTTTCTCTACAAACTCACTTTTCCAAATCAGAGAATCCTACCAATAAATGTTTCTTGACAACCAAAACTTAGGAAGGTATTTAAATCTAGTATTTCTTAATATAGTAACCATTTTATAATTGTTCAGTGTTCTGTTCTATGCCTGAAGTAAGTACAACTACAAATACAAATAGAAAACTGCTGAAGGAATGTATCACTTATGGATCTGACTGCCGTGGCGAGCGTCTGATGAAGCTACAGTGGTGAACACAGTAGACGTTGTGCTTGGGCGATGTTTTGGAAACTCAGAGAAACATGCTGGAACCACCTCATGGATCCTCAGCTTCATGGCCCTGATCACCTGCGAAACATGGATAAATTAGGTGACTAGCAAAATCTGGTGTGGTTTGTATAAGTGAAAACACATTGGAGTTTTCATTTCCTGAGTATTGATAACAAATGTATGCTGGTCTACAACTTTTCTATGGGTTGATAATAGTGGTAAAACGGTTCAGATAGAACATTATTATCAATGTACCGGTATTGCAGAAGCTGAGATACTAGTATAGTTTGTTATTTACTACTGGACTATAGGCTGTTGAGATAAACTCTAGCCCAGAAGTAATTACATATATTTTTGTTTAATCTTCTTTTAACCTTGCATTTATGTCAGCATTCAGAGCTGTGCGTGGACCATTTCAAGCAATACAAGGGATGTGCTTGTACAACACAAGTGGTGTTACCGGGATAAAAACCCATGACATCGCTGTCTTGGTAGTTGGTCGTAGTCTGTCTCGACACCGACCCACCACAAAAGTTCCGCTTAAAACTAATTCTGCAGAAAAAAAATCTCAAATAGAATAATCACACATGAACTTACTTTTTTCTTAATCACAAAGATGAGGAAGATGAAGAACCCCTGGAAGATATTTGCGGCGTCCAGCAGGTACCAGAAGTAGTTGTTATCTCCACTCTGGAAGTACCAAGTGATCACTTCACATCCCCATGTCAGTCCCATCACCACAAACAGCTTGGTGTTCATTGCCAGCCTGAGCAAACAATTGTAATTATTATTGTATTACAGTGTATTCAAAAGCTTGTTATTTTAAAATGTAAGGAAACTGACAATAGTTTAGCCGAGCAACCGTTACAAATAGTAGGGGAGGGAGCCCACAATGACACATTTTTTTTTAAATTTTCTATTTGATGTACCTTTGATAATTTTAACGGTATCTTGAAATATTGCACACATTTTCCAGGAATTTCAAAGGAATTCTTCAAATTAATATCATTATTTAATATCATTATTTAATATCATTATTTAGTCATTATTTATTATTGTTTAGTATTTTTATTTTTTTTTAGCAAGTAAGACGTGTTGTGGCCCAACCTTGATTTTATTTTGTGATTGTAATTGTATTGTAGCCAAATTAAGATTTTTGTCATAGCCTACTGCATCAAAATCAGTTGTTTTTAATGCATGCGTTGTGGGTCTAAAGTACCGGTAGCATTTTTACTCTCTGGGGAGTAAAAATCAGCTGTTGTCAACTCAGTTGTAAATTTTGATTGTAAACAATCGTATCTATCGAAAGTATGAATCGATTGCTTAATCGATTGAAGTTTATTGTTGCCTTATTGTAAATAGTTTGACATATCGATAGTATAATCAGTACATGTACACTAACACAATAATAGACAAAACGATTAAATCACTCACTAAACAGCTGCTTATTTCCATTAGCAAATTAAATTGAAAACAAGTTAGATGTAGTTTTGAGAGGTTACTTAAAATGAAAACTATTTAGTTTCGTAACATAGTTTGTTAAAATAATGGTGCAATTTTGAAGAAAAATATAGTTCTTCACATGGGCAAAAAGTGTCCCTTCAACCCTCGCACATTTTCCGTTGACCTCGGGTCAAAAAGAGTCACTTAAGGCCCCAGTGATGAAATATAGGTACTATAATTTAACTAAGAACAGGTGTTTCAATAGTCCGGACCACTTATTAAAAGCCAACTGATCAGGAACAGCTAGGTCCAGTTTGGAACCATCAAAAAGCTACTGACTTTTCTCAGGATCGAACCGGTGACCATTTGATTGTTAAAGGCGAGCACTATAACCTCTCAGCTATAAACCCAGCCCATGAATAAACAGTACAGTATATTAAATCTTGACTAGAGGTCGTCAGTGGTCCAAAACTCGACCAAAAAATGTAATGAACAGAGACGTAATGTCCGTGTAACTCTTGACACTTTTATGATCTTCAGCATCTGTCTGTCCCCTCTATCGTGAGTGTTTTCTGAGTTAAATATTGACCCATCAAACACCTGTTAAACTAACTTGTTTATATCCGCATGGTACTTCAGTTTGGCGTTGGAGTTGTTCTGCATCTGTTGGAGTTCAGATTTAATCTTGGAACAGTTCCTGATGGTGAGGGCGAAGAAGACAACATTTGTAGTGATCTGGATCATCACTGGCAGGTTAAAGAATACTGTCTTTCCATGTGTGTCTCCTATGATTGACAAAAACAGACACTTTTACTTAGAAGTTGAAATTCAAAGAAGGACAAAGTAGATTGTCGAACCTTTGGTCTTTAAGAAATGACCACATTGTTGAACTGACCTACGATTCAGATTCAGTTCAGCTATCCAAGTGAGTTACAATTTATCTCAGTTCAGCCTAATTTATTAACTTGTAAAGCAGGTAAGAAAAATAAATACCCCGTTTTACATATTGACATAATCTTTGATGGTAACAATTAAAAAATGCTTCAGTTATAAAACCAGTTTGTCTCTTATTAGTTTTGTCAATTTGTATATCTTAATTTGGTTACCTGATAGACACTCATTTTTAAACAAACACAAATCTCAGTTCTTATGTGTGTTTATCTTAACATTCAGTGACAAGTTAGTAATGTATTTAAAGCTAAAGGATTTTTGTTTCTTTATCAATATATTTATTTATTAAGATTACATAGCAAAACAATTGTTTATTATGGAAACTTCTCTTTATTAAGCATGTAAGTTGAAAGCAATCTTGAAGCAGTTAAGGCAACAATGGAGCTACCTTCCCCTTTCTATTGTAAGTTGGTAAATATTACAAACTCTGTTGCTGCCACAAGTCAATGTTGAACACATGAACGGTCTACTTCATTGAACACAACACAAGCCCTATCATGACAGGGATGTAAGGTTTAAGTTTTTTGTGAATCAGATTTATTGAATGTTTAAACTGTAACTTAAATGCTTATGACCATATTCGTAATTTTATTTTAAAAGCAGTTACATGCAAAAAAACTCAAAACGGTTATGGTAAATTTAATTTGATTAACATTTCTTTTAATATTGGGTATGTGATCAATTAAACTTTCTTTTCTTCATAAGTCATTGATAAAAGTACAAGTACAAGATTATGTTCTAATCAGTACCTATGTTCCTGTACCAAGATATAGTTAAAAGTATGAGATATATCATCAAAAACATTACAATATACATAGTACATTAAAATATTATGAATTACAGTAAAAAGATTGTGTCTCAAGTCAGTGCTTGCCTGCTAGCAATAAATAATCCTGAAACTAGGCAACAGCCTGATTGTAGTCAGGAACAAGGGAGTTGTTTGACTCAACAAATATAGTCTCTTAATTAAATTTAGGCTATTTGAGGGAAAGTCCCTCAAGTACTTTTTTGCTCAATGTATGCAACATATGTTGAAGCTGATTGCTTTTTGATAAACCTCAGCTGTTGAGACCTCAGCTGTTGAGCTATTGTTTAAAAGGTAAGATCAAGTGTAGGATATAGATTTATTCCCCTAAACCCCCTAAAATTTATAAACTGATCATAGTTAAGTTCCCACTATGGTCTACCATAGACTCAGTGTAGACTCAGAACATAAGTCGTTAATGTCTGTATGTATTTAGTATGAGTTCTGCCACCCTGATACTCATAGACAAACATTGGCCAATGCCCCCCAATGCTGTATCAGGAGGTCAGGTCAGGATAAGGTAGAAGCCATTATTGCTGAATTAACTAGTAAGGTTCCTACATCAAGTTCAGACACTAGTATAATTGGAGTGTTAGAAGGCCAGGATGAAGGAGGAGTTATCATGGCTGAATGAACTAGTAAAGCTCAAATTATTATCTTTTCCCCCAGTCTCCAATAAAAGTTGGCAAGATTTTTTTAGGAGGCCAGGATGGTGTAGGAGTCATTGTGGATAACTCAACTAGTATGTTTTCTACCAAGTTATGCCAGCCTGATACTACCAGCCAAAACAAAATTGTCGATTTTGTAGGTCATATGCAGCAGGGACCATGATTGACTTAGTTAGTTAAGTTCTACCATGTTCTGCTATCCGAGTACACTCAGAAAATAATTAGGTAAATTTTCTATTATGAGGCCAGGATAAAGTAAGAGTCAACATAACATGACCTACTCGACTGGTAAGGTTCTTACCAAGTTATCATGTCATTCTGGTACTATTGGGAAAAAATTTGTCAGTTTTGTAAGAAGACCAGAATTGAGTGAGTCATAAAAGTTCATCCCATTCCATTCTACACTCCTTATAATTCTATTCAGCTTAAAATTTGGAACCAATGGGTGGCACTGTCTTAAATAGCTAATTGGTCTGAATACTGTGAAAATATTAACACTGTTAATAAACCGGTATCTGAATAAATTAAAACACATACTGTATATGCAAATTCGTAAACATCTGTTTAATTTAAAATTTTTTTTATATTTCTATGCTACAACCTGTTAATACTTACTGTGAAACCAGCAATAGCGTAGACCCATGTTTGGAAGGATTCCCTGAGGAACCAGCTTGTAATTGTCTACCAGGAATGTAACAGAAGTGATTGCTAGAGGTACCAACCACGCGTACAGTGAGTACCACAAGAACTTTCGACAGGACTCTTCTGCCTTGGCCGTGTGTGACTTGATGGCTCTGGAACATTGTTGTATGGTCATTTTCACTTTTTTTTAAGAATGTAGCAAATGACGGCTCAGATAGAAATCAAAGGAAATTGCACTATTCTGCATCTATTGTATCCTCCCCATCCGCTTTTTTCGGATATTCTACTCAAATATACACTTCCATCTATGCAGCCTGTGACGTAATTGCGGTGGAACCGTTGCATTCTCATTTAAATTTGTGTGTCAACTAACAAAGGTAGAGGTGTTAATCACATATTTGTTGAAAAAAAGCTCTGAGTGTGCCAGAAAAGATAACCAGGAAAACTAAAACATAGCAGGTATACTGCAGTTTTAGAGTTGAATTGTCGAGTCGAGAGATTGCTGAAAATATTATTCGATGTTTCAAAATTCGTACAGTAATCACTCTTCGGGGTGAGCTATAAGTCGGCTGCCCTTGCAGTCTAGATGGATTGCTATTGCTGCAACTTTCGCCAGGTCAACAACGAAGACAAACATTCGACAGCACCACAGAATGAGGATAAAGAGTAAACACTGTAGCAGCTCAGCTGCTAGATTCATGGTTAAAATTGTACAATAAGTGAACTGGGAATCTAGATGGTCTATTTTTGCCAATCTCAGTGACGATAAAATATTCATCTAATTACACAATTTTATGGCAAAATAAATGAGGAATCAAAAAGTGATCAATCAAATCAAATCATTAAACTTAATCTACAACTCTTGTGGTCATCAGTAAAGTTTTGGAGAAAGTTTGTGACATCGGAGAAGTTTAGCACGATATTAACCTTTGCAAAGGTTTACCAGTCACCACGCCCTGCTGTTCGTAGAAGTGACATTGTGGACATAACAAACAAAGTGTGCTTGTCGCCATCCCTGCTCTGTACAATGTACACAAGATATGCTTGTTCCGATGTCCGTGTGATAGGTCTCAAGGTCTACTATCACTATCAGCTGTTCCCTAGTTGACTCAGCTGAATTAGACCTACATTTTAATCTCTTAAATGATAAAATACGCAAGAGAGTATCAACCCGTTGGCCATAGAATGGACATTTACAATCAGCTGTTAGTGACGTCGTCGCTTCTTTTTTTGTCACTTCACAGTTGCTTGAGCTTGACCCTTCAACGACTTTCACGTTTTTTCTTTGTTCTTTCGTGGTTCTTTCTCTTTTAAATGCTTGCGAAAATACGACTATGCTTCCACTTTACTCTTGTGGGAAACTGGAAACTATTTCATCTGATTTTGATCTGCCTTTTTTTGTAGGAATTGAGTACACTAAATATTTCATATTTTATGTTGAATAGGTTATTTATGTAAAAAATGTGTCTAAAAAAGCACAAGCAGGGCCTATATACATTTTGCATGTGTGTTCTATAATTATATGTATTTGTATTAGGTATTTTGTGATTTAATAACATAGCACATTTTTCTACAATATATACTGATAACTTGTGATACTGGTACCGTTCTATGAAATAACAGTGCAGTTTCAATTCCTAAAACGTGTTTAAAGGCCGGTGGCGTCTTGGGATCCATGGGAGATGAGGAAGTCTGCCTACAACCTGAGAGTAACTCGAACCCTTGACCCTTGGGTAGAGATGGGGGGGGGGGGGTAAACTAAAGGCTTCATAGTCCAGGTGTGGAGACCACAAGTGTATATTGTAACTTGACCTACTACAATCGATCATCTTTTTCTGTCTGGAGACGAATTGTTATAATTATCACATCTTGGAGCAAATTTACGGTGAGAAACATACGAAACTTTTTGCTCAGAAACAGATTAGTATCCTCCTTGACCATGAAAGAAAGGAGTTTTTTAAACGTGAATCGAAAAACTCTACAAAACTCGTGCAAAGATAAATATTGACCAAAGAGGCTTGTAAGGCTATTGATCACATCAGCCTGAACCAAATGTGTTAACAAACATAAACTAAATCTAAAGACTATTCTATCTTTGTAGCTTTGAAGCTGTGAACAAACAAATAAACAATGTGATGCAACTAGTAGTAACAGCTGACTAAATGCATGCAATCTCTTGTCATTGCCTCTTTCTAAAAGGGTAATAAGTGCAGTTCAAAAGATTTGTCTATAGACAACAATCAACAATGTAATCAAGCTTGAACACCAAATAAGTGTATAATAAGTTGTACCGTAGATGTAGGTTAATAGTCAAAGATAAAACATACTCCCTTGTTGTACGTACTTTGAAGAATAACTGAGCTTGCATATCAATTGTTCCTAATTACAGGCATAATCGGGGCAAAGGTATCGTTTCGTAAGAACCCAAAAATTAAGAACAGTTTGATCTATATATGTCTTACCACACGGATAACGGTATAAGCACTATTAGGTCTAAAAAATAAGCTAAAATATAGTATTGTTAATAGAAATTCCTAACAGTTGAGGGGGCACAGCCCCCCTTGCACCCCCATCAGGGACGCATGTGACAGCTAATACCGCAAAAAACATCAGTTCACATGGGTTACGTTACTGCGTCGATAGTTTATGTATAGAATATTTTGTAGAGAAGTGATACCTGTTTAAATTTTTTACAGGTACCGTATTATCGTCTTTATGAATCAGTTGAAAACAATTTCAAGTTCGGGTCTGCCTGGTTTATGTATAGAGGGTTTTGTTGTTTAATTTTCTTTTAAGATATTTCAACATAATATATTTGTAAACCATTCCCTGTCCTCTGGTATAAAAGTCAAAGCACAAATCGTAACATCTGCCCTAAAATAGGCAAGACTAGACACATTTATTTATTCTACGTACATTAGTGCATTCAAAAGTTACCACCAAAAAACACATACCAAAACAAGATACAAACTTTATAATAGGATTATAAGTCTACTTTCACTATTCATCGTCAATGGTACCATGAATATTTTAATTTAACAAAACCATTGATATAATTTTAAAACATACAAATATCACACAGTACTCTGGAATCAGTTATGCTAAACCATAGACTAACCAACACAAGTAGTGTTCTCATCCCATTGTAAATTTTGAAGCTCTTTTTTCGTGTCTAGTTCGTTTCCGGTGACATTGATCGCTAATGTCGACGAAATTTCTTTTCTATTATTTTAGGGTTACTGTTTGATTATATATCTAGGTAACGAGTTATTGTTTAGATCGTTTTATTTGGTTAAACGAGGTTTAAATGACTGAATGTAAACAAAACACGACCTCTAGTGCACCGAACGGAACTAACAATAAAATTCAGCAAGTCTTCAGCTCATCCATAACGGTGAGAAATCTACCAAGAAAGTATGTTTTATCTATGGTTAAACGTTCTGTATGGAATCGGAGAAAACTGACTTCTATTAACACTTGAAACACGATCTGTCAGTGTAACTGGCTCATTAGTTGATGACATGAATCTTAATTGGGTCTGAGCTGTCTGAGTCAGACTTGTGAATTTTGCATTCTGTAAATGCCATTCAGATGATTGTGAAATGGGAACAATTTCATGGTTTTTTTCCTGATAAAAATGGAAAAAAGTTCAAAATATTGGATGGGTAAGATCTGAATAGTTTTTGCACACCAACTTCCCTAATCAACCAATTAATTTCATTAGGTTATGTTGTAGTGTTGACCGTGTAGAGTATTTCTTTGACAGCTGATCAGATGTTCTTTAGTTTTTTTTTCGCTCCTGTCAGAAAATGAAAGAACGTATCCCCAAAAAACATGTACGGTACTGTATTTAATTTATTCTTCATATAATTCCAAAATTAGAAGGGATCAAAATGTTCATACCGTGGATCTGTTTTCGGCATTAGTGTCACGATTATCTTTAAAATTAGGAGTAAAACATGGAATCTCCAGTAATTAAGGAGGATCAGATGGGCTGACTTAAAAAATGCTGAAGAAATAGTTTAAGATCAAGTAGATTCGTCATAATATTTTTTATTCTATTTAAAACACATACTTCATGCCCATCAGTTGGCTGTAATACAAAGACTATTTATTGCGTTTCCCACCCGTTACTCATTTATATAGTCATTGAATAATCACTTCCACCCTGTATAATGTATAATGTCCGGTGATCAGTCTTCCTCTATGCACAGCAGTGCGGGAACCGGCGGGAACCGGGCGTAAAATTGGCGGGAGGCAGTCCAGCTGTTCTTTGTAAACCAATGCTGAAAACTTTACTACAACGTCCGTCCAAGTTGTCTGTGTTCACAAATGACTGCGTTTACTTCTGCGTTGTTTAGTTTTGCCAGAGTAGCCTGTCAAACCTACATAAGTGATAACGTTTAGTTGTAACTAAGACAACTTGGCTCAGCCATATCTGTTTGTTAAAACTAAGAAACTTTTCTCGGTAATGGATTGCGTATTTATGTGTATGTATTTTTTCCAGAAGTACATAAATTTATTGAGGCTTATAAATACTGCAAACGGAAAAATGCAGAGGTTCAGCACGGTGTGTTGAAATAATCGTTTGTCGACATTTTTAGTAACGTCTTTTGTTATTGATTATTTTAGAAACCTCTACTGTCCGCCGCGATAGACCTACTTGTCTGTGCGGTGATCTGAAAACGTCGGAGTATTCGTTCGTTACGGTACTGGTTGGTACAACCAGTAGCCTGTACCAGGTAAGCCAGAGCTCACTACGGGGCGATGTCTACTTGTACCGGCGTCTAGTTGTACCTGCTGCATTTTGGTGACAGGCGTCTAGTTGTACCTCGTCCAAAGCTGTAGGTACAACTTGACGATGGTGCGGACGTCTAGTTGTACCTACGACTAGTTGTCTCTACGTCTAGTTGTACCTCTTAAAAATCTACAGGTACAACTAGTCGGGTACGCCACCGTCTACTTGTACCTCATACGTCTGCGTCTACTTGTACCTAAGACTACTTGTACCTACGACTACTTGTACCTACGACTACTTGTACCTACGACTACTTGTACCTACGACTAGTTGTACCTACGCCTACTTGTACCTACGTCTAGTTGTACCTACGGCTAGTTGTATCTCCCCTTCAACTTGTCACCAGTTTAAGGG